TGGGCCCCTTTAGAAACTTTAGGAAATATATTTCAGAACAGTACTCCTGTGTGGTGACATTTATGCCTGAGCTCCTATCTCCCATTGGTGAAGGGAGACCCCTAGGGGTAAACTCCCCGACATTTCTAGGTCTTGCTTATCTCCATTTGCATCCAACTTCAAGGGGATGGAGAAGCTGGAAGCCAGGAAGTGAGAGTTACTTAGCATGGATCTAGGGGAAGCGCAGAAAGTTGCACCTCATGAGGTTTGTCAAAACCCCAGTAGAATTGGTACTTGCAAAGTACACTTTGCATTTTCAGACAAGATATCCTCAAACTGTCTATGCAGCAGATACAGGTTAACAGAGTAAAAATAGAGGACCACTTTGATGGCTTAGATCATTAGATTATCTACCCAGTTTATACACTTAGACTTGGTTGCCCTCTATTTGAATAATGAGAGCCCACAGCGATACACACCCTTTAAGTAAACAGAAAAACACACTTTAGGAGGAGGAAGGAAGATTCAGGTCAGAGGTAGGAAAGGAAAGCAATTAGTGTGGATAGATTTTGCCAAAATTAGATTTAAACCATGTCAGAGCATTCATTTTCCCTTGGTTGATTCTAGCACTTGATTGCCCCCCGAAAAAGATTTAATTGGGATAATGTGCCACCATTCGACACGTAGGGCCCTCATTAGGCAGAATTAGCCCCCATCGCCCCTAGGAGACTGGTTTCTTCTGTGCTGTCTATTCATCCTTGCCCCTCATTTCGCTCCGGCACTGAGCTCTGTTCAAATCAGCCGTGGCAGCATTACAGTAGCTGGCTTGGTTTCACTCAGTAGCAGTGGTAAAAAGTATAGATACTTGGGCAGAAAAAAGCCATTTAGAGCCTCCTTCCCTAAACGAGATGGGGTAAGTGGTAGGCATGTAAAGGCTCTGTGACCTTTCCAGGATACTTTGGCTTCTCTCTCTCTCGTTCCTGACAGAGCCAGAGCACACTGGTTGCCCGCTAGCCCTGAAGGAAGCCTGACGAGGAGGAAAGCTTGATAAGTCGTAAATAGGACTGGTGGCTATAGAAAATATTACTATTGTAGCATCTGACACCAGAATTTCCCTTAAGGCTGACTCAATCAGTGCAAAAAAAAAAGCCGGATCCCCATTGCCTGGAAGTGCTGTGATAGCTTTAGGCAAGAGTGAATGCCTTCCTCTGCAAGAAGAAAAGGAATTTATTTATTTCTCTAGATGGAGGGGGAGAGAGGTCATTTGATTTCAGCTTCGTGATCCCGGGCTACTTCTCTAACTGTCCCTGAAGCCTGCTACCTTCCATTTTGGAAATAGAGATGCTAGTAAGTCGATCTAAGCAATGAAGATAATATTCCATCTTTTTAGACTGGGTAGGGCTGGAGAGATGAAAGAACAGAGAGATGGAGAGAGGCTGAGACCAGGTAAGATGAAGGGGCAGGAAACTCCAACGTGCTGCTGGGTGAGCTGGGGACCTTTCAGGGACAGCGATGTCTCTGATTTAATGTGCAATCGTTTGTGCTGCTTTGTTGTAAACGTGCTCTCCATCACCTGCCAACAAACCCAAAATCTTCAGGAAAGTCTACTTTCAAATTGTCAAATTGTTTTCTCCTTCCCCTGTTCCTCCTTAGGTTGCTTGTCACCGTCTTAGGTACTTGCCATATCTTTCCTTATATTATTGTTATTTGCGTGGTTGCTCTATTACCCCTCCTAGAGTGTGAGCAGCTCAAGAGTGGAGACCATTTTGTTTACCACTGCTTCCCTCCTGGGGCTATCCGGGCCTTGCACATTGAGTAAGTGCTTGTTAAATGGAATTGACTATGCAAATTCAAGAGGGAAGAGGAGATCAGCTTCTACTGGCACATGGCTTCTGTGTGCCAAGCTCTGGGCTAGCATGTTAAGTGGGATAATACGTGCAGTCTTCATAGCATCCCTTGGAAGGCAGGCAATTTGCAGTTGAAGAAACAGGGGAGCAGCAAGGTTAATTACCTGCAAATGACAAATTTTATGCTGGGAAAGAGAAACTGTTGAAACTGCAGAGCAATACTCTGTATCGTCCAACAGAGAACTTGGCTCTGTAATGACATTTAACATCCCCCTGTCTGTGTAAATCCCCAGGCAGCGGGGAGGAACAGCAGGGGTATGCTGGAAGCCTGGTCAGAGATTTGTTGCATAAATGCCTTGGCTGGTATCATCCTGGCAGGAATTCCATTTCATGAACTAAAAAATCAATCATTCCTTCATCAACAAGGAAATCCTTCTCCTTAGAATCAAATCTGAGATGACTCGGTACAAAAGGGATAGAACAAAAGTTATTTTTCTCTTTGCTTGGAAAAGAATCTTCTAGTGAAGGTTAAGTGGAAAAATAGAAGCAACTGTGTATAAATTATAAATGCTCTATTTGGATAGATGTTTCCCCTCCATTCTTTCTCATGACACTGTGATTTTGTTTATTCGGTGATGCTTATGTTTATGTTACTTCTCATTGAATAGTTTTGAAAACAATACCCAGATTAGGCAAGTTAAATAAGATCGTATAAATTAGATTACATTAGTTTCTTTTTTTAAATTTTATTTTATTTTATTATGTTATGTTAGTCACCATACAGTACATCATTCGTTTTTGATGTAGTGTTCCCTGATTCATTGTTTTCGTTTAACACCCAGTGCTCCATGCAATACGTGCCCTCCTTAATGCCCATCGCCGGGCTAACCCATCCCCCCACCCCCCGATTACATTAGCTTCTAACAAGGAACTTCAGTGTACCATGTCCAGTGGCCCTTACCGACCAAGACTTGTGGGGTCTTGGACGAGCATTTCAATGCGGAGCATTGATTTACTCATCTCTATAACAAGGTGTCAAATGCTGATAGAGCATCTTAGAGTTGACATGTCCAGTTTTCCTGGGACTTTCTATACATTGAGAAAATCAGTGGTTCAGTTTTCTTTCCACGTGACTCCCAGGGGCTGTAGCCTTCAGAACCTCACGTAGGGCCAATGATATAAGATAACTAGCAATGACAGCCCCTTGCCTCCATGGTGTGCTCCATGCTCCCATGTTGTCAACACACCTGTCATCCCTTGCAGCCTTCACAGCAACCCATGGAGCAGCCCTCATTTTGTAGGAGTGAGAATTTATGGTTCAGAAAGGAGAAGTCATCTGGCCAAGGTCATAAAGCTCAAGGCCGGTGGCAGATCCAGGACTGAAAATCTGAACTAGAGGCTTTGCCTTCGTTCTTCTCTTTAGCATATTTAAGGGATCAACAGGCTGGAGGGAATCTGGAGGTAAGGAGATGGGCAATAAAATTTGAGAGGCCCTAGAAGGAAAGGGCCCCATGCGAAGGGCAAAGAGATCATAAAGGTAATTTTCAAACAACTGACTTCTATATTTACAGGCTTTGATGTCCACCTAACTGTGCACTTAAGTTTGATGCTCAAAAGGAGAGGGGGGAAGAAAAATGAAGAAGCATCAGGCAGACTAGCAGGTGACCACATTTAGCACTCTTGCCCCAGGACACAGTATTTCTTTGCAATCCTTTTTTTATATTCCTGATTCATTTTTCAGGTTTATCAGATCTATATGCTTTATTAACTTGCTTCCACAATGAAGGAAAACTGAGGAGGCCTGAGGAATGTAGAGAGACATTGGGTTTAAAAGGCCACTTAGATCGCAGGAAATATAAAAGTGGAAAGGCTTTAAACCTAAGTTTGAAGTTTAGCTGCAGTTTCCATTAGTAAATGTTCATCTCAAAAGGTATTAACTTTCTAGTTATTGGATTTTAATGCAAGCTGAATCTCATCTCAGAAACTTGTTGCCCAATGAGAGAAATGTTCAGTAATGTATGCTTTCTAGAAGATAGCCTCTTGCTGCATGTGGCTGTTGAGTAGCTGAAACATGGCTAGTGTGACAAAGAAACTCAATATTTACTGTTATTTAATTTTGATTACTTTAAATTTAAGTGGCCACAGTATTGGACAGTACAGTTCCGGAAAGCATTTGCTGATGTCACTCTTCAGCTCCTGTTTTGTAAGCATATTGATATGGAAAAAAGGATTTATAAAAACAGCTTTGTTTTCTTGAATGTCTTTGATGATAAGGATTCTTGTTTTTCAATTAAAGTGGGCCCTGAAAATTGTGATAAATATGTAGTTAAGTGACGATAAGAAAGCTTTTGTACATATCAGATCATTCCAAGTTTTGTAAAGTCTCAATTCAGTAACTAAGTAATACGGGTTTTCTATTTTAATTGGCACAAATACTTTGGCTCATAAGAATTCTAATCTATACTGATTCGACTATATTGTTATTGGGCAGGTGAAAATTTGGATTCCTGTGTTTTAGAGCTCAGAAAAATCAATGATTTCTCATTGATAAGTCTTTTGAATTGTTTTCTATTTTAGTACGGGCTCTTTCTAGACAGTGGAAGTTCTCCTACATAATGAAATACACATTTACTGAGATAGCTATCTGCAGCACGTGGGAAAGCTCAGAGAACAAATGAATGATAACCAATTGTCTGTCTATACAATTCCACAGCGTTGGCCTTGCCAGAGTGTCCAGCCCCTCATGAAAACACATTTGTGAGGTTCCCAGATGATATCCCATGACTGTGATAATTGTCACGTGCCTATTTATTTTTCCCTTGAGAAACTGAATGAGTAAAAAAAAAAAGATCACAACTGAACAAAAGCATATCAATAACAGGAAACTGTTGGTGAGAAATACCCTGATGTTCCTGTAAATTCACGTCACCAGATTCCCCAGGGACAAAGGTGCATGAACTGCATGGGTAAATAATTATGATTTAATACAGAGACCTTGCAATGTTGTTTACAGTAAAACAACAAAAAAGAATTGTTTCTGGAGGCGCAAATAAGCAAATAATAGAAACACATATCAATATAATCAGGAAGTGGTGATGTTATGTCTAGGTCAGCTACTGAAAACAATTTGTAATCTATCAAACTATCTCCTTTGCAGTTGCAAGCAGTACAAGGTGGGACCTTAAGAGGAAGAATCTTCCCCGGGATGATTAGAAATGGTGGACAAAAATGGGATATCCATTCTGGAGAATTTCCGAAAAGGTTTCTACATCATGATACATGTCTGTTTGCAGGGTTTTATTCTCATAGATGATAAGAGAGAGAATGACCACAGATTCTGCCTCCTTATTTAAAAGGACTCCCAACTGGAGAGATATGTGCTGCTGTGAGAGTTTGCCCACAGGTGCATGTGTGTCCCAGCTAAGAAAAGAGGTGAGTGGCGGGACTCCAACTGCTCGACTGTGTTCCTCTCTTTTTATTATAAATGATGTTTTTCTCAACAAAAAATGGGAAACCCATAATTTTCCACTTTTTCTCAGAATCTACTTACTATAAAAAGCATGAAGGCATTTGTCTAGTAGCCTGAAGAGAAACTTAAAGTTTTATTGGGGAGTTTGGTCTGAGGCAAGAAGGGAAAGAGCCAGCAAGTACTGAGAGTCAGCACAGAATCCACACCTGAAATCTCTCTGCTTTGCTTGGGTGATAGGATAAGACTCTGCGAGTCTCATTCTTAGCTTCTAAGCAATTTTTAAAATTTACCCAGCTATTCAGCCAAAGGTAATTGCATTGTGATGTACCCTGCTACCATTTCTCCATTCTTAAAAGATTCTGTGGTGGGCAGAATAATAAACCCCCAAAGATATTCACATGCCAATCTCTAGAATGTGTGAATATGTTACCTTATATGACAGGATAGACTTTGCAGATGAGATTAAATTAAAGACCTTGAGATTGGGGCGCCTGGTTGGGTTAGTGGGTTAAGCGTCTGCCTTCGGCTCAGGTCATGATCCCAGGGTCCTGGGATCGAGTCCCGCATTGGGCTCCTTGCTCAGCGGGGACCCTGCTTCTCCCTCTACCTGCAGCTCCCCCTGCTTGCGCTCTCTCTCCTTCTCTGTCAAATAAATAAATAAAATCTTAAAAAAAAAAAAAGACCTTGAGATGGAGAGATTATTCTGGATTATCAAGATGGGTCCAATGTAATTACAAGGGTCCTTAGAAGCATCCAAGAAGAAAATGTCACAGTGGAAGCAGAGGGAATGAAAGATTTTGCAGATGCTGGTTTTGAAGATGGAGGAAGGGACCACAAGCCAAGGAATTCAGGTGGTTTCCAGATGCTGGAAAAGACAAACAGACCCCCTTAGGGCCTCCAGAAATGCAGCCCTGCCAACACCTTGATTTTGGTTCAGGAAGACCCATTTTGGACTTTCGATCTCCAAAACTGTAAGATAATAAATTTGTGTTGTTTGAAGCTGCTGAATTTGCAACAATTTATTACAGCAGCAATAGGAAATTAATACAGATCTAAACTGTGCTTTTCATGTTTGATGGCAGTATTAGGTCTATGAAGTTCTTACTCAATTTTCTAGTTTTAATATTAGACTATTAGGCTGCACATTGGAATCATTTTGAACACTTAAAAAATACGGAGGCCAGGGTTCCATCCCCAGTAACTTAGATTTAGTAAATCTGGAATGGAGGGGGCACATTGGTATTTTTTCAGAGCTGCCAGATGATTCTGATGGTCAGCTAAGAATGAGAACACCATTGTTAGAGGACTATCTCCTTTGTATGATCTCTTGGCTGTTTAAGCTCAGGGAATAAGCCTTTCATCAATACAAATGACAGGATCATTTTACTATTGCCAGCACAGTAAAAAGTGTAGTCTAACTTCTTTGGTCTTTAAGATAGCATTTGCTTTTTGTCCCCATCTGAACAGAGTATACCCCCTGGGGGTAGATTTCTGGGAAGCAAAGCCCCCTCTGTCTCCACTTCTTCCATTTCCTCTGGGTCTCAGTTTCTATTCAGAAGCAGTCAAGGGTGACCCCCCAGCCAGGAGGCCAGGAGCCCTCACTGCAGTAGTTCTGACACTTACGTAAAAGAGGTATTGAGTGGCATGGAGTATATGGCAGGGATGGTGTCTTGGGATCAAGGGAGTGATACACAGAAAAGAGCCCACTCTCCCCCATGCTTGTGTATTCCATGAGAGAAAGATGGAACTATGGCTTGGATATGGACATGAACTGGTACCAGGAAAACTGTGCTCCAATCCTGACCCTGCGACTTATATTAATAATACCAGCTCCTCCTCATTGGCTACAGGCACTGGACTGAGTATTTCACACAGTGATGATCTCACTTGATCATCATCCATTCATACCTTCATTTGGTTGGTTCAGTCTTCAAAGAATGGGCACAAGTGGTCTCTGGGATCCCTGGATGTGTTGGTCATAGGTTGGAGCCGTAATTTCAGATAATTGAAAATGTACATGATGAACTCTGTCAGACAGTAGAATTTTCTATGCTCTGCCATCCTCTGATTCTATACCAGTCACTTGACATCTTGTAATAGTAAATGATTTCCGTTGTGTCTTGTAGTTGCTTGGGTTGAGGAAGTAGAAGGAGTTGAAGGAACTGGCCCATGATCCATTTTTCTCTGCCCATTACTGGGGGTGGGAGGGTGCCCCCAAGGGAAAGAAAAGAAGGCAGGTGACCTTGTTGAATCTCTTTGTCAACACAATAACTGGACCGCTGGGAAATAGACTAATGGTATTTTCTAGGAGGAGACTCTTTTTCTGTGGATTGCTCTTAACAGGATGTCTTTGGTTTGTTTAGGGAAACATAGCTGGAATTTATGGATTATGAAGCATTGTTCCCTAGAGAGTGTCTTATAAGCAATAGTTTTCTTGGTTATGAAATGCTCCCTGCTATGTAAGGTAACCCATGACTGTCACTTAGAGACTTTATCTACACTGGCCAGAAAGCACACATCCAGTGTGGGAGGAAGGACCTTGGGAGACACGTGGGATAATCCAAACCTCCCTCTGCTTTGTCTGTGCTTCCTGAATGCTCGTATCCTTGCATTATTCATAAAGCTTGATATTGGGTAAGATGCCTGATTCAAGCGAGTTTGATTTGAAAATCTAATCCTTTGTGTTACCTCACTCTCTTATTAGACTATAAGCTCATGGAAGGCCAGAGCTATCCACAGCTGATCTTTTTGGGCATGGCATTGTGTCTTTAGTACAGTAGCTGCTCAATAAATAAATACAAATCCATATATTAAAGAATTGATGGGTTATAAGAAATCCAGAATGTTAAGAGCCAATGGAAAATGTAGGAATATAAATTTGTACAGAGAAATGATGCACTTGCCAATACTCTATTATCATACCATTCTTTCTTCTCTGGGCATAATGTCTTTTCAATGTAAATATAGTTTATTTCCACATTAAACTCAACATTTCTTTATGTGAGTGCAGTGAAAACTGTAAGATGGTTCGGGCTTTTAAAAAATTTTCCACTTAAATTGAATTATAGGGCTTGTAGACCTAATTTGAATGCAGCTTGACCATTTTGGTTCATAGCAGCTCATCAATCAGTGGTTGTATCTAGTTGTGCCAATTTTTACTTCCCTCAGCTTTTACCACATTCATCATTTGCAGTTCAAATTGATCCCCACGGAGGAAAAGTAGTTTATATCTTTCCCTACTGAACGAAGCAGCTTGTTCAGGCATGGGACCCCCATGTGTCCCGCTGAGGTTGTAACTACGGGAGGGCATGCTCTCCTCTTCACATGGGGCAAAAGCCTGTACATAGGAGTTTACATGGATGTTTGGGGTATTTATGGATGCTGTGTGCCTTAAAATGTCTCCACTGTGGACTATAACTGTGCCCCAAATCACCAACTCTACTGTCACTCTTTCATACCAAGGGATTCTTTTTTATTTATCTAAAAGGGGCATCTGTAATCACTCAAGTGTAATCTAAAATTGGCAACTTAAAAATACAATGACTTGTTGACAGACAGAATAGGTAATATCTCTTTGGGGCTTCCCCCAAAGGCAGACATTTACAAAAAGACTCCGATGCAGGCAGTTTTTCTGGGGAGTGATTCCAGGAAGGTGGGAGGAGGGAAAAGGGGAGGTCAGACAGTGAAGACAGAAAAGTCCTCAAAAGTTGTATTAAAGAGAGAATTACTGCTATTGGCTACCAGGCTTCACTCCAGTTGAAGATCCTCTAAGAAAATTCAAGAAATGCACGTTAGGACTATTCCTCTGGGACCAGGTGCTTATCCCCTGACATCCATCCCTCTGTGGCTGAGGGTTTCCCCTGAGGGTGTTTAATCCCTGGACCACCAAGGACACCTGGTGCATAGGTTGAGCAAGCTCCCAAGGCACAGGAGAAAGCCCCAACCAGGGGCAGCAGGATGGGAGCTCCTGATGTGGACATAATGCACAAGACTGCCCACAGCAACTGGGGAAACTCAAGGTGGGGTGGGGCATCAGTGGTGCCTGCCTCCTTTGGTTCATCCTGTGATCTAGAACAAAAGTGTGAAAGAACAGAGCAGAGACCAAGTGTGAGTTGTTTTGGGGAGAGGAAACAGAATGAGGAAGGGAAATGTGAACAAAGTTGGGATAACAGTCCTCAAAGACAGTTGAAATGAGGTTTCAATGTCTACAACTCTGGTTTAAGAATCCCAGGGAGACAGAAGGAAACTGGAGGACACGCTTCCCAGCTGGTGTAGAACCTGTCCTGACCCTTTCGGTTCTTCTGTACTTTGGGGAGCCCGTGAACATGAGAGAGTAGGGCTGCACTCCCTGACCCTGTCATTCATCATTAGTCTGCTTGGTTCCTTAGTGCTCTCTTCCTTGGACTGTTGGGTACATCTGTGTGGGGGTGGGGCCAAGTGCACAAGACCTGCCTTTCCACATCGTGGTCAGGCATGGAGCACAGCTACAAAACTGGCTGGCATTCACACCCCACTTGCTCTTTGTCACCCAGCTCTTCAAGTTTCAAGGTGATCTGGGTCCCATGGATGTTTTCTCCCAGCCAGACTAGAGTGTTGATCATTCGTATTGATACATCTACATTTCATGGTGTCTTGCACCTCTTTTCCGCTGAATGCCTGTTTTAGGCTTCTACCCAAATCCCACCCAGGCCTTCACATTCTCCTACCTAAAATATAGCTGTGGCCTCGTAAGCTATCTACCTGCCTTCCACTTCCCCTCCCCCCACTTTTCTTACCTACTCTCTACTCCATCAACAGATTAACCTTTTTCTGGCAGAACCCACATCACTCAGCTTTCCTGCTCCAAAGTAGTCAGTGTTGTTGGTTGTTGTTTTTTTTGTTTTGTTTTGGTGCAAACCAGTCTCAGCACAATTTCCAAGCCTAGAAATCAAGTTTTTTTCTTAATATGGCCCCAGCCCAACCATATTATGTTTCCCATTATGTCTGACTGTTAATATCACATTAGAGGTTGCAACAAGCCTGCGGGCTATTTACTCACAGTCTGTAGACTTTGTTCAGTTTGTCTTCACTACTAATTTAAATTCCTGATTAAGATTGTTAATTACTACTAATTTAAATTACTGATTAAATTATTGCTTGCCTTAAATTACTAATTAGTTGTTCACATTTAGACATTGAGGCATTTCACACACACAGAGATGTTGATTTCCAGCTTCTCCTGAAACATTGAAAGATCTGACGATACTGGGTTCCCATCTCTGCAAGGTCACCATCAGCTGGATCTTAGTAGTGCCTATCACTTTTAGATCACCATGAGAACCTCAGTGGGCCCCTGTCTCCTACCCACTCATGTCACTTATTTACATAACCTACTAAGTCTCTAAGGGCACTTGTGTCCCCAGCTCTAAACATGCTCCAGTTCCTGCCCAACTGTTTAATTCCTTGTTCTCCAAGTAGGCCCTCACTTTTTGAGCAAATGCTGTCAGCACTCAGCTAATATTCTCTTGACACTCATCATTCACTTAGACTCTCTCCTGAACTCATCGTGACTCTGGAGCATGATCAGCCTACACAGAGAGCAGGCAGAAAACCAGAGGGTTGATGCCGCTAAGAGCAGCCCACAAGCAGTGACAAGGAAAGTAAATGGAAAATACCCCAACTTCTTCACCCTCTGGCAAGTGAGCCAGTGTGATGTGCTCTCTGCAGTATGTGGTCTTGCAAGGATCTCCAAAGGGGTCAGATGCCACCGAGGTGACCTGCTCATGGGACACACCTGAATTGGCTTCTTTCCCTTCCCTCCCTCACTTCCCCTCTTTTCTACTGAGCTTCTTGGGATCACCTCCCAAATTAACCATTATATTCAAATCCTTGTCTAAGGATCTGTTTCTGAGGGAACCCAGCTAAGGTGCTTTTCTGCACTAGACCGCCATCACCCTTGTCCTTGCTAGAATGCTCCTCTGTTTTCCCTTATCCCACAAACTCCACTCCATTTCCACACCCTGCCTTCGCTCTGAGTTGGACTCAAATGTTTCCTCAGTCATGAAAATTTCCCTGACCCCTCTCATTCCTAATTTATGTTCCCACTTCCTTCTCTGAATCCCACAAAGCACTCGGCTTAATGTTTTTCTAATGGCTCTTATATTTTACAAATTTTGATCTGTATCTTCACATTGTAGCACTACCCTCTTTATCCACTTTGTCAATCACTCCTTAAACACCATTTCATACCCCTCTTCCTTAACTGTCTCTTGATCCAGCTTCCAGCGAGTAGTCAGCTGTGTGAGGCCTGGGAGCAGCTCTGCGAGGGCCGGGACCCACTTTCATACTGGTACACTGACAGGATCTTTCCTCATGCTCATTGCAATCTGCCTAGTCTTCTGCTGTGGGGTTTCCCTGTGGCTAAGCATAGAATGCTCATGAACTTTGCTTAGTAATGGTGCAATCACAACCTAGAAGTGAGGAAAGTGAATCTTTGGCAAATGGAATACAAGAGCCAACTACCTGTCTTTCCTCCCTTGGATCAACTGTTCTGTGATGTTATAAGGCTTCTCAGAGGATGATCCAGTGGTATTGCTCGTCAGTCTCATTTAATAGCACCTAATTCAATGACACATACTGTGCATTGGCTCTTCTTTCTTCCTTATGAGTGTTCCTTGTCCCTTACTACTGCCCCTGGGCTTACACTCCCTAATATTGTAGTAACATATAAGCCTTTGCCTCAAGACTGATTTTTGAGCCCCCAGGCAAAGACGTCTACTATCTTGCTGATAAATACAGACAGCTCTTTGAGAGAAGGAAAAATGACCAAAGCTTAATAAGAAAACTGAGGTTTGTGGCATTTTTAACATACCCTATTCTCATGCCCGGTTCCCCAGCTCGGTGGTAGGCTGGATGCCTAATACCAGATAGAACAGAAGAAAGCCTGAGCTCTTTCAAAGCCTCATTCTCAAAGAACTGCTACTGTTTGATTTGTCTGGCGGCGCCCTTGGATACCGCAACCAGAAGACTTCCTTTATTTACCTGACTTGAGAGCCCCCACCAAGGCTGAAAACCTTTCTCTGGGACCGTTTGTTGACAACATTTGTAGGTAAGTACAGCTATCCCACAGCTGCCTTGAGATGATGGGTAACGGTTGAGACAAACAATAAACAAAAGCTTAAAAGGAAATGCTGAGGGCGCCTGGGTGGCTCAGTTGGTTAAGCGACTGCCTTCGGCTCAGGTCATGATCCTGGAGTCCCAGGATCGAGTCCCACATCGGGCTCCCTGCTCAGCAGGGAGTCTGCTTCTCCCTCTGACCCTCCTCCCTCTCATGCTCTCTGTCTCTCATTCTCTCAAATAAATAAATAAAATCTTTAAAAAAAAAAAGGAAATGCTGAAGAATGAAGCATCCATAGGGGCACTGAAATGGCCCAACATCTTCCTGAAAACCTAGATGACCATGTGCATACGTAGGGCTGTGTGCATGCTCATGAGTGATGCTTGGAGGCCCCAAGCTGTCACCTCTGGTTGACTTTGAAGCTCTGTGTATATAGGAAGTGAAGATTAAGGCAGAGTTGTAAACTGAATGTTGAAGGCACGGCCCAACATGCACACAGAGCCCCACGGCAAAGACTGCAAGATTTATTAGTTCCCAGCATTTAAGAAAATCTCTGTCTGATCATTAGCTGATTATAAAGCTGGGTAGAGACTTCAGTGATAACACATGACAAAGAATATATATTTTACAGAATTAGTCTGGAAGAGTCACTGAATAAACAACTATAATGGGCAGCAACAAATGGGGGAGCACAAGGGGAAGGGTGGATCTGATTTCCAGCGTTGGCACATTGCATATTTGAAATGTCTCGGTTTCAACAAAATTTGTGAGACATGCAGAGAAACAAAAAAGACTGACCCAGGGCACCTGGGTGGCTCAGTTGGTTAAGCGACTGCCTTCCGCTCAGGTCATGATTCTGGAGTCCTAGGATCGAGTCCCACATCGGGCTCCCTGCTCAGCAGGGAGTCTGCTTCTCCCCCTGACCCTCCCCACTCTCATGCTCTCTCTATCTCATTCTCTCTCTCAAATAAATAAATAAAATCTTAAAAAAAAAAAAAAAGACTGACCCATATACAGAGAAAAAAAAAAAAAGCAATCAATTGAAACTCTCCTTTTGAAAGAGGGAGAAAAGGCCCATTGCTCCCCTGTCAATTTCAATCTTTTAAAGGAAACCAGTTATCTCAGGAAGAGAAAGGGGAAAGTCCCTTCCCTCGAATGCCAGCGTTTGGCTCCTGGCTCCTGGGGAGGTAAGTTTTATTACCCGATGAGTGGGAGCCTATGGCTTCAGCTCTAACACTGTTTAATCTCCAAAGTTTGTCCTTTAAGTCAAGCTTTAGTTTCCTTTGCCTGGAAAGCCCTAACTATGCAGAAAAAGGAAAATGTTTTCTCTACCCTATCACAGTCAGGCCAAGATGAGGGCCACCAAAAGAATGCCTTAGGAGACATAATAATTGGATGATCTTAGTTCTTGGCTTGCCTCAACAGTCCCAGTTTATGCCCGTTGTAGCTCAGTTAATGCTTCTTAATGATTTGTTAGTGCCTACTTTCACTGGCAAAATCGTCCTAGGCTGATGATTAGTATGCCATCACCTGACCTAAAACACCACTGGAGCCCTTTCCAAATGGAAGGGTGGAGGAAAGCCTGAGGGAAGGGGATGGAGCCTGTGGGTCCTGACTAATTCATCAGCTGAATGAGTCACACATGCACAGAGCCTGATGTTTCATTTTATACAGCCAGTATTTCAAACTTGACCCATACTTCCATGGCAATTAATAAAATGAGCTGCTCATGGTATAACTGTGCCATTTTGAATTGAATAAGCCACCCAGTAGGGGAAGTCTAAAGTTCAGGAAATTATAGAAGGTAGATAAGCTTCAGCCAAAGACAATAGCAAAGGAAATAGCACAAAATAGCATAGAAATGAACCAGCCCTGAATCACAGGTAAAAAGAAAAAAAATAGCCCTTGGTCCATGTCAGAGATGTGAGACAGAGGAGAAGAAAAAAAAGAAAAGAAAGAAATGGTCCCAGAAGAGTTTGGCTTTCAGGGAAGTGAGCATTGACTCTGATCTGTATTTTGCCTCAGGAAACACTCTGATATTAATGATGCAGTAGAGGGATGTTAGATTCTTCGTACTATCTGAGCTAAGCTCCGGTGTTGTCGGATTCTCGGGGGAAAGCCTTCTGCTCTACAGTAATGGAAAGGTATGACATTGAGAAACTTATCCCAAAGCTTTCTTGTCCATGGATTTCCTTCACAGATGCATAAAGGCTTATTGGGAGCAACAACTCTGTGAGACTCTTACTAATCTCCTTTGCCTCCTGGTTTCTCGAGCATTTTACCCAGACATCTATTGTAGGTTGATCACATTTAATCGTTCATATGTAGCATCTACCTCATGCACTTACCAGGCAGGGGCTGGGTCTTATTCAACACGGTTATGAGAACCTCAGCCTTTAAGGTAGCAATGCCTGCCCCACCCCTGCTTCCATTAGCAATCCTCTGCTAGGAGACAGTGGCTTGAATTTGCAAGCAAGGAGAGCCTGGAGATACAAAGAAAGGGAGGGCTCAGTTGTTAGTTTCTCTTGAATTTGCAAGCAAGGAGAGCCTGGAGATACAAAGAAAGGGAGGGCTCAGCTGTTAATTTCTCTCTCTTTGACCTTAGACATTTCTTTAGAGGTCTGTTTTGGGATAATGAGATAGTGGAGAACTCTGAGTCCAGCTATTGGATTCTCTACCCACACATACTCCTTTGTCTTTTATTCAATCACACATGTGAACTAAGTCCAGAAGTACCAGATGACATGCTGTAACAGAAAGTCATCCAATTTTTTCAATACCAAAAAGATGGAAAATGGGTCACAACGTTGTTGCTTGGAGGTGAGCCGCTCACTCAAGATGATTGGTGTTGGACCGTTGGGAGAGCCCAAAATAAACTTACTTGGATTGTTTGTTACAATGAGGAGCCTCCTTGACCAATATATCCTATCTGAGATCTCCATTCTGTAGATAGTTTTTCTGTGTGTCTGTGAAAATAGTTGTTAGTGCCTCCAGGCTGACCTGATTCCAACAGAAAGAGAGCTTCCTTCTCTCTCTGTCCACATATCAATGCCAAAACAGCTCTAATTATCACTGACCAATGGCCCTATTCCTGGACCAATTATGGTTTCTAAGGTGATGAAATGGTGTGACTTAGTGGTTATGAGTCTGAATTCTCAAGCCAGACTGTCTGGATTCAAATCTAGGCTCTATCATTTTCTGCCTGGAATACTTTGGAGTGGCTACTTACCCTCTCATGCCTCCATTTATTTGTATGTCAAATGGGAATAATAAATAATACATTTTGCATTACTGTGAGAGAAAATGAGTTAATATGTAGAGTTAGAACAGTGACTAAGAGAGTAAGCGCTTACACATTAGTCTCCTTGGGTCATCTATGACTGTGGCTAAGAATGTCTATATTCTAGGAGATGTTGTAACTGAAGGAAATACCAGAAGTAGAACTGTTTTGCAGTTTGCAAATTACTTTTTATATCTATTTTCTCATTTGATTCTTGCCTTAATCCTGCAAGGAGGTCATAGAGGACACAGAGGCTCAACTAGCCCCAGACCACACAATTAGTAAACAGCAGTGATGAATCTTGAACCCAGAACTTAGGAGCTTTCCAAGGTACCCTGAGTGGTATGGACACCACCAGAGAGGTGGTGAGTGCAAGCGCAGGCTGGCCTGAGCAGCTTGATAATGCACTGGATAATGCAACCCTTTGCAATCCGTGATTTGAAGTTATCCTCAGGAAATGATTTACTGGATGCTACAATGCAAGTAGCATTCTCTGTACTTCAGGGAGATGACATCTAGAGGCAGGAGTCACCATGTACAGTGGCCACCTGTTGTGGTGCTCACTGGCTTGGTGTTTGGTGTGGCCATGGTGTTTGATCTTTGGGGATATTACTCAGTGTTCATAAATCTATATAAAGAGTCTCATTAACTCAGTAGCACAAACAGTTTGCAAATACAAAATGACCAGGCATAGAACACAATCCCTAAGTCACATTCAACTTTGTCATCTCTCTTTTTATGAATCTGAAGGCAGCTGATGAATGTCATTTCATTTACACATAGTATCTGGAGTTTTTCAGCAAGCAGGTGTAACTACAAGTTAGAGTCAAGCACTCAGGCACCTGACACAGATTTGGTTTTCTGTTTTTGTTTTGAGGATCAGATTTTCCTTTAGGATACATGAAGGCAAATAGACTTAAAACACCAAAGAAGGTTAATATGCTCAGATTGGGCCTTAAATTTGGGGATGAGGAAAGGGGAAAGTTGCTTGTAGAGAAGGTCTTAAAACTGTGTGACAATAGGAAGTGTAGCAGAGAGTTTTCACATAGAGAAGCTGTCTCTTCCTTCCTTCCCTGTTCACACATGCTGCTTCATCCACCAAGAGATGGGGTCCATTTCCCCTCCATTTGAGTAGGAGTCAGCCTTGTGATTTACTTTGGCCCACAGAATGAGCTAAAGAACACTTAGTCAATTCTAGGCCTACCTTTAAGGAACTCAGCAGCTTTTACTTTCCCTCGGGAAGCCAGACGCCATGCTGTAAAGAAGTGGTCTAGACTACTATAGGAGGAGTGATTGTGAACTATTCAGATAGTTCGCGTACTACTCTTGCCCAGTAGGGAATCCAAAGTCGCCTGTGTCTGATGTGAAGTCACATGAAGGAGCACGGAGGTCTTCCGACTTTGTATGTGTGAGTGAAGCCCTCTTGGGCGTGGAGCCCAGCCTGGTTGCCACCTAGAGACCCGCTGAGTCAGTGACAGCCACCAGTGTCTGGTGGCGTCGAGCAGCCCAAGCAAGTCCTAACTCAGTGTCTGACTCACAGGACTGTGAGAAAAGAATAAATAATTGTTGTTTTAGCCAGAGAGTGCTGAGGTGGTTTGTTACAAGGCAATAGATCTTCATGAAACATGGAGTATCCCTCAGTAGCCCCGAAGGGAAGTCAACCTAGTCTATATTCTTGACATGAATTCCAGAATGATGCTGACACTGGAAAGTTAACCAACACAAGAAAAGTTACAGAAGGATAGTAGTGTTTTCAGAGATGAAGCCCTAAGGATAATAACCTCTGTCTATGTTTCTCTTCTGAAATAGTATCATCTGATGATGGGATAATGGCATTTGCTGAGTCCAGTGAAGTGAATCTAAAATCTTCACTCAATTTTATTTAAAAAGTACTGACTGAGCCCCTTCTTTGTTCCAGATTCTCTCCTAGGAGCTGGAGGCTCAGTATGGGACATGAAAGACAGAGCCTCTGCTCTAACGGAACCTGAGAAGAAATTACAAATATGGTGTCCTAGAAGGCATAAGGAGCAAAAAGTGGGAAGGTTTCTATGAGGAAGTCCAGTCTAGGTTGGTACTGGATGAGGAGTAGAATCTGGCCAGGTGCAAGGGCAAAGGGAGGTGAAGGAGAAGGGGAGGGCCAGGCAGGAGCAGCAAAAGCAACACAGATTGTCACTCAGGTGAGAAAGAGTGGGGCCCAACTCTCTAGAGTAGGGTCTGTTGTCGCAAAATCTCACACAGGTTGGCTGCATTGTGAAGCCATTTCCAGGTACTCCTTGTTCTCACTCTCCTTCCAGAATCGAGGCACATTCAGGAGCTTGAAATGATTGTGTGGCTGTTCCTTTCTTTCCAGTTCAGTCCTCTTTCCCTTCCAGATGTAGGTTCTGTTCTGATTCTCTCAGCTCCTCAGGCGACTTGGTTCACGCATTCTGGCAGGGTCCCGTGGGCTCTGTCCACAGCGACCCTATGAGTAGCTTGTTCTTTGGTTGGCCCTGTGCTTCCCTGAGCTCAGTCTCCTTCTTGAATCAGCACAAGTGGATTCATTCTTATTCTCTTTCTTTCTCTCTGTCTCTCTCATTCCCTTTACACACACACACACACACACACACACACACACGTTGATGTCAGCAATATCTTTTCAAGTGAAGAGTTCGTGCTTTCTCTTTTACTTTGTAAACCGCTAACGTTCTCCTCTGGAAAGGTTATAGCTCTCTGGAATTTCTTTTCTCCCGGAGTCATCAAACATGGACTCTACCACTTACCCAAGATTATGAATCAATAGGTCACCTTTCTTATCCGAGATTCAGTTTCATCACTTAAAAACTGGTAAAAAATAACACCTGCCCCTCAGAGTTTTTGTGAGGAATAAATGGATTTATACTCATGAAAATGCTATTCAGATAGTTCGCGTATTACTCTTGCCCAGCAGGGAATCCAAAGTCGCCTGTGTCTGATGACAGCATGAATCATGATATCGGAAAGGTTAAAACAACAACTACGAGAAAACCCATCAGCCAAGTGGAAGCTGGTCTCTGTGAAAGGCAGCGTCAGCCTTAGGCAACAATTCTAGATTATTTACTGAACATCTAAATGATGGGGACACTGGACGGTATGCTCTCTGGGTGGTCAGAATAGCACTGTACAGACGGTGAGAACTTCACAAATACATTCTGGCTGTTGATGATGGTGGCAATGATGATGAGCCTATCAAAGGCCATTGCACACCAGAAGACTGGTGCACAGAATTACTGCTGACAATTGCAAAGATTTCGCCATTTTTGTAATGATGCTCTCTGAGGTCTTCTCCTATCTAGATTCACTGATGAGTGGGCAATTATTTTCCACAGATCTGGTTTTACCCTTTGACTTTCCAATTTACTGCCTGGCTGCAGAGCTAATCAGCAGATACTTGCAGTGGAGTCTTGCTGCTTGGCTGAACCCTGGGCCTGACAGCTGTGTCTGGAGGGCCACGGGCAATTAACCACACAGCTTTCTTTCAATGGACCAATTTTCCAGGGACTCGTGATGAGCTGATGTCTTCTGAAATAATCTTGTGGGTTTGGACAGAGGACAATGGGCCACACTTAAGGATTCAAGACACATGACCACCTTGACTGTATAGTCAAAGTTCCAGGCAAATAACCAGAAGACTTTTAGGGGAATGCTAGGGGAAAGAAGATAGTCACTGCATCATCAAGTGATACAAACCCGCGGTCTTTTAGACATCTCTAGTAGCAGTTAAAGCTTCTGGAGAAAGTATATTGAACTTTCCATGCTGCCAGCGGACAATTTAGGAAGCTACTGCCATGTTTCAATAAATTAACTCATGTTCTGAGTTAATGTTCTAGGGACAGTTC